CGCGCCCGGGGGAAGTGTTAGGGAGAAGAAGACGAAGCTGAAAGAAGAGGTCCAAGCTGCGGGCGCTCTCCAGCTGGGGCACAACGATCTTGTCGCTTGAACACCTCTATCCAGTCCTCATTAAATCACCTTTTTAACATCCTCACAATATTTATATACTGCGTACCTATACCAAGTGGTACTCAAATGTTTCCACGATATTGCTGGGGGACCCAACTAACTTATGCGTCAGCTGGCCCAGTGAATTGCAAATAAACTTCCATGGGACGCACTCCCATGAACGCTTATTTGCGATTCTTGTAACCTGAGGAGCGAAGCAGGATTAAAAACACCAAGAACGACGCCAGTAACTAAGCGTCTGCATACCAAATCATGGTGACTGTGGTATATGAGTACGCTGTTTATGAACATGGTGGAAGGCGGCTTAGCGGAAGTAAAAGGCCGTTTCTTCGATCCGCCTTGTAGCACAACAGTCACTTTATATATCGTTCTCACGGACCTCTCAACACATGCGGAAAGACATACCTCAAGGGTACGTTCGGTGCTCTAAACCAAAAATACTTATGTGTCTGAAAAAGAAAAAAAGATTCATATATTACGTTTGAATAAATCCACAAGTCGTGGCTCTCCCGAACGAATGCACGGAACCCAAAGCTCTCAAGCGGCTTCTGGCAGTGTATTACATAAAAAAGAAAAAAAAAAAAAAAAAAAACTCTTGCATTACGTTTTGGTTATGGAAAACCGCAAGAATTTTTCCAAACCATTTTTTTTAGATGCTTCCAAACAGCTCGACTTACCGCACTCATTTAGACATGCAAACGCATCATGTAGTAACGTTTCTGCCCCGTTTCATTAATTTTTTTTTTTTTTTCAGAATTGCAGATTTAGAGCGTCATGTCTGTGTGTTTTGTTTTAGCGAGGCGCATGAGAAGGCATCCGGAATTTTTTTTTTAATTATGTTTTATTGTTTGCAGAATGCATGCGTTCTCTAAATAAATGGATGGTATGTGCGATTCCGGTAGTATCATACTGTTCTTACGATACTTATGTTACCGCATATATCTTGAGCGACGGATCGGTGGCCGACCGAATGTACTAACGCACCGCGACTCAGAGCACGGGGCGGTAAAAAGCAATTGCTTCGGAACCCAGGGATCCTTGTTTCAATCCGTACTCCTACCCGTTTCAATCTGAATGAGCATCGTATCGGCGTGCAGTCGTGTTTCACTCTACTCCGTGATGCACCTTAGCTGAGACTTCGGATGTCCACAGTGACTGACTAACTTCCGGCTGTCTAAACATACACACTATTTCCTTGTCTATATCTTCAGAGGCAAAAAGAGATATTGGCATCTGTAAAAAAAAAAAAAAAAAAGAGAAGCTTCAGTTGGTTATTTTTTGTAGTATATCATTATTGGGAGAGCGCGCAAAATAAACTGGCTTTCGATTTGTAAGACGTTTTTAAGAAACTACGCTTGCTTTAATCAACCACAATACGCACTGTACTCTTTAGGTCAGTGACAAAACTTCAAACGTAAGAAAGAAGGTCGGAGTCGAGCTTTCTCAGAAGGAATAAAAAAACTCGGATGTTTTTAGACATTTCTATGGTCCCATAAAAATGCTATCCTCTACGAACAAGGCGTTATGTTGGCATATTCGCTGATGCGTAAGTTGAGTTTTTTACTGAAGTTATTCACCTTTACTATTTTTTTTTAAGATAACATGAATATGTTATGGCTCTGACTTTAGTGCAAGCTTTGAGCTTTGTTGAACTGATTTCTAAGAATAAACTTTTGATTTAAATAAAAATATATACGTCTCATAAAACTCATGGTGACAACATCACCATGTCTTTAGATCAAATATGATTTCAATCTTACCATTCAAAATTTCGCTAAGGCCCCGAAGGTAATGGGCATGTACATATCCTAATTACAATCAAGAGAAGCCAGCAATCGAGCATTTACCAATGCTCTGCAATTACAATAACGTTTCACGTGTTCAACGGAGCAATATTATTTTTCAAATGTCCGGCGAAAAACTAATATGCCAGATGGTTGAAAGATGACGATGCAACAAAGTTAAAAACAAACATAATGAATATAAAGCGATTAGAGTGCGACCCGAACGCTGGACTTTCCCCTCGTCCTCTTACTGTTTCCATTGCTTTTTAAATTTTTTTTCGAGTGTTTAAAACCATTTATGAATAACCCTTTGCGTATACATCTATGAGTAAGGAAATTAGCGTTTTTGATACACCCACTACTTGTTACAAGTTTATCGATAACAGCTGGTATTCATAAAATGATTTGTAATGAAACGCATCATATCCTTACGCTTAGTGAATGGAACACCTTTTTGGAGTGTACACAAATGATTGGGTGACATGCAAGACTAAACGAGGAAAAAAGTTGGCCTGCTCGAAGCACCGGCCGACAGGCGTTGACTCATCTATACTGGCGTCTTTCTCTTTTCTCTTTTTTTTTTTTCTTGTTCGTATTATCCGCACGTGCATAATGTTATCTAACGTTTTCACAAGGGTTAAGATCATAACGCAGTGACACTTAGTGGTGCACAGTAGGTGACATATAAAAATTGCAGGGGTGAGGGAAAGGATGGCTGGGGAGGAGGAAGCAAAGGGATTGCTGTATACGAGAGGAGGAAACATCCCCCTCGCTCTAGCAGTCCGCCCGCTTCCTCATCCCCAGCCTTCCTTTCCCTCGCCCTGTACCGTTAACCTGTCACCGACTATAATAAGAAACATCCTGAAGGACTCATTGCAGTTGAGTAAAACGAAAAAGGCCGAAAAAGATGCGCCTCTTAGCAGCGCTATTTAGAAAGTGCGAGGTCCTTTTTACCCCACGACGTCACACTCAGTCCGATACCGGGTTCCGCGGCTCTTGATTTTACTCCGTTTCTTAGACTTGCTTTCGTATACACGTAACCTCGGTGGTGCAACCAATAGCCAGCGGCGTCCGACACATAGTTACGAGTCAATGTTGCGAAGAAGGCAAAGTGCAAACGGCCTTGTGGCGGTGCAGTTGCTCCTCGTCCAACCCCTAATAAATAAGAAATCCCCACTGTTGACTTTTCTCTTTTTTTTTTGTCACCTAGCAGGGGTTAGTTTAGGACACGTATGGAACATGAGCGACGCGTCAAAGCTCCGTTGGGGTTAGAACGAGAATCCGAGGCTTACGCTGACGCGGCACTCGCGCCCATTCTGTGCCCGGTTTAAGCCTACGGCCTCGTAATGTGGATGTTTCCCCTAGCCAGGCTCTAAAGCCCTCCTTTTCCCGCTAAACTGCTCAGAACCCTTTCAGATCGAGTATGATGCGATGCAAATTACGTGTAAGTCTAAGGAGCGATAATTAGCGAACCGCTCTGCCATACGCTATCGGCGCGACGGATAAGCGACCCTCGGCATCGGCGTAATCGAGTCCCGTGTGTTATTTTTTTATATTTCTTCTTTGCATTACCGCGTCGTTATGACAAAAAGCCAGCCCTCCTCGCTTGCCTCATCGTGAAAGCCCTGTTCCTCCTCTAAACTCCGTTTCGCCGCACATCGCGCCCGCGGAGGACGACACGAACCATCGGATCCATTTCAATGCCGTGTGATCGTCACGTGATCATCGAGGGTGAGACGGGCACGTAGTCACGTGAGGCATTCAGTGCGCGGGGATCGGATGGTATGGCTCGGAGCGTCCGCAGCGCTCCATCGTAAGGTGAGACGGAGCAGCATACACAGCCTGCGCCGGACTGCGACCCGCGAAGCCCGGAGGATGCGTGCCGTTCTCGAGACTCCCGTTGCAAAATCGTCCTTCCGCCCGCTTCGTCCTCGCTCGCCATTCTCCTTCCCTCACTACTTCGACATCATCTCTCTCTTTGTGACACGTGCCTGGAGACTCAGAATGTTAACAGCAATATCGCGGCGCGGCTCAGGCTTTCTGGCGTGCTTTGCGGTCCCCAGAAACTAAATTCCTCGCCATTTCTTTTCATTTCGTTTATTGTTGCCTCGCTCTTTTTTTGTATGCTATACACCTTTCAGTGTTCTTGTTCGCTTCATTTCAGCACAGGCACAAAAACACCGCCGGTTTTACTTCTTTTTTTCTTTTTTATAAGGGCCACCGTCGGGCATTTCTAAACAATGAGCCAACTGCGGTCGAGATAAAAGTGGATCCCCTCTGCGCGGGGGAAGACGCCTGGCTCGTGACAGTCGAAGACAACAGCCATGGGTATCGAGAGAAGAAAAGCAAACACAATCGCCCGAGCGTAATAGCTACGAGAGAAGCCGGAGAAAACGACAGGAAAAGCAGTTGCTGGGCGGGCAGGTTCGATAAGTCGGCATTAAAATGTTAATCCGCGGAGAGGACGACTGAACGCCGCGTGGTGGCGCAGGAAAAAAAAGGCATTGTGCCCGGAGCGAGCAACAGGGGCCCGCCGTGCCTCCTTCGCTGCTGGCTCCCTTCTCCTCCCCGTCGCATTCTACGCTCTCGGGTTGGTGCGCTCGTGCGTGCCTCGAGTGCACTCGCGTGCCGGGATGAAAAGAGAGGCCGCACCGGCACGACGGTAATGCCAGATTCCGTTTGTCGTCGTCCGTCGTCCTCGTGTGCGTCGAGTGCCTGGCAGAGGCGGCGGCGGGACGCCATCATCTGCCGCCATTATTGTTTGTTTTGTCGTGTCGGTTCATTCCTGACTCTTTGCGTTCGTCGCATCCCGCATTTCTCTTTTATTTCGGATGACAGCATTTATATATATCTATCTACGATTACCGCGATACGCCGCGACACGAGCGCCCTCCCCCGGCACGCGGGGGAAGGAAGCCCGTCCGAGCAGACGGGGCAGCAGTTCTCGTCTCCTGATGCCTCTCTCCCTCGCCCTCTGCTGCGGGGCCGGCTCTACTGCGCAGGCGCGGAAGATTCAGGCGCGGCATCCTCGCCCTCTGTCCACTCCCCGCCCGAGGCCCTCTCCATCCTCCCCTCCTTCATTGCGTTCCGCATCCTCGTGCGCCTCCCGGCCAGAGAGAACCCGGCGCGTGTCCTCCGCTTATACGCCTGCACGGTCGGAGAGAGGCGGCGGCGTCGGCAGCTGCCAGCGTCGATGCACCGTCGCGTGCCGCGGCCGCTCCGGCTACGACTGCGCTGCTGCTCCTCCTGAGGTCGCCGCCCAACAAAGAAAACAAGAAAAAAAAAGCTAAAAAGGCGCAGCGGTAGCTGCGGCTGCGACAAAATACCGAGGCACCCCCCCACCACTTCGCGCGCCTCCGCGCCGCCAAGTCGAGGCTTCCAAGTGTGGTGCACAGATCGCGGAAGGCCGTCCACGTCTGAAACCCCCAAACTCGCCTGAAATCGTCGCCTTTCCGCCGGATGTGTGCGTGGTGTGTGTTCGTCTTTACGCGCCAGCGACGATCGAAAGTCCACATGCATCGGCCCATCTTTTTTTGCTTTTTGCCTCCTTTCCGTCTCGACTGACCGTCACTCGTGTTCGCCTTAGAAGTGGTGAATTCTTCCCTAGTTCTTGGAAGTAGCCTTTTTGATTTTTTTTTTGTTTGTTTTTGTTTCACTTTGTCACTTCGGTTGCATTTGTGCCTGCGCTCCCAGTCCAGACGAACCGCGAGTTTTGTTCTACCAGCAGTGATGTTCACGGATTAACCGCCGCACGGACCAAAAAAAAAAAAAAGCACAGGAAAAAAAAAAAAAAAAAAAGATGGCTTGAAACAAAATTCCAAATCTTCCAGCATGCTTTTGCACGCCGTCCTCGTTCCCGGGGTGTGACCGCGCGCAAACGATCAAGCTCAGCGTGGATGCATCGTCGTCGCTTGACCGGATCCACAGCTCTCACTTCGCCGACGTCGCCCCGCCGACCCGACCGCTTCGATGCGGGTGTAGCACCCTCCGTGTGCCCGGGGCTTGTTCAGACTTGCTTCTATCGGGGTGCGGACTTCGCGCTCTGCGAGACGATCGCCCCTCGGGAAAGAGGAAAGACCTCGAAGGAGACGACCCCCCGTTTCGACGAGTTCGCTGTGTGTCGTCGCCGCGCGTGGACTCTTGCGGACGATGAGAAGAAGCTGACGCGCTGAGAGGAATGAAGCTGCCGCTGCGGCGTCCACCCGGCTCGCGGCCCGGCCTCGCCGCGTTGCTCACGACCTGGTTGCTGCTGCTTCTGATGCCCCTCGGATTGCGAGCCCTGCCACCGGTCATCAGAGTCGGTGAGTGAACCAACCCGACGGACGGACAACTTCGCGCCTACCCTCGATAGGGCCATTGCGTATACGCCACATTTTCGGCAGGGCTTCGGTGTCGGCTGTCTTTTTGTTTTCCACGAAGTCGTGTAGTACACACAGTGCGGCAGTCGTCACGTTAACCAACAGTCAAACGCAATCGTCCATATCTACGTCGTTTATTTGTGTTTTTTTTTAAACGTATGAACTTTATCGCGGTGTCTTCTAAGCTACTTGTATTTTTATTGGGGTACCGGGGCGCATCGAGAACAGCTGCGACTTTTCTATCAACTGCACCTTAAATAAATTGTCGGGTATCGCTTCAGTCTCGGTTCAGCTTCACCCGAATTGTAGATTTGAAAAAAAAGTAAGTGGAAGGCGATTCGAGCTTGGTGTATAAATGTCACTGCACGTGTGTGTCGAAATCCTTGAACATGAAAATGGTTGTCTAGTTTCTAGAAGATTAGAGATTTTAACTATCGGTGATAAAAATATTGAAGACATCTGGTAAGAGAAAAAAGGCTTAGTAAGCCTCAAAGGCATCATTCTTTGAATGATTGCTTAACTCCCCTTACTTACATATCAATATATGAGTCTCATGTAGAAGGGAGATGTCATCGCTTATATATATATATTATTGATATTGCGTTAATTGGGTTATTATAAGGGCTTCAGTCTAACTATACAACAATAAATCTTGATGAAACGTTTCTTAATAAAGAAAAAACAGCCAGAGCGTCAACTCCCTGTTGAAAAACTAAGCAATAATGTTTCAAACCTCCTCTTCCACTCCAGCTCTCTCACTTCGAAGGATTTGGCTCCACCCGAACTCTGAGCATTGCTTTACGTTCTGACGGAGACGGAGACCCCTGGTGCATTAATAATCCAGCAGTTACATCAGGCCAATATCCAACGGTCCAAAAAGAGTTTTTCGAGTTTTAATATCACGAGTAACCACGCGAAGATTTTATTAACTTTAAACACTGGCATTCAGTTACTTTTGTACTACTTTATTTGACAGGGGTATTAGTCTATTTAATACCTGAACACCCAAAAAACAGAGGCTGTTGTTATCCTGAGAATTTAGAAAGAACCCTTTTGACTTGACGTCGGTTAGTGACATTCCTTTTGAGAATCGCTTAACCTCGTTCACCGATATCCCGTGGATCGTTGAATGAGGGCCCGTGTTCATGCTTTGCGCCTTGTGCGTTTTTATTCCAGGATTACAAGGGTAAGTGAAGCATGCATCTGCTGTAAAGTCTAAATTAAGCACGTAACACAAGGGATTGATGCAAAAAGCAATTCCCATTGCACTAATTTGAACTCTTCCAGGGCAATTAATCTTTACGCACCATCGTTATATAAATTCATTATACGACTTGAAGAGGTTTCTTGGGTAAAGCAATGATATTCACAATTCCAGTTTGATAACTACAGAAAATATTCTGAGTCATGCTTCAAATTAAATATTTCGAATCACCACCTTTACGTAGATTGTGGAGCCTGATAATTAAGTTCTGGATAAATATCGACATCTTTCATTTCTTCTCGTTGATGCTTATTTATTCGTCTGCGGAAAATAATGCTATAAAACAAGATGGCAATTTGCAAAAAGAAAACTATGATGAAAAACGCAATCTGTCTTCATTTGGTCGCTTTCATTAAACTAAAGTAAGATTCATGAACACGTCTTTCTGGTATCCTACTAAGCACGTATAACTTTGGTTCCAAAACTTATCAAATAAAAGCATCTAAAGAGTAAAATCCTCTTATTTTTTATTAGTAATGTTTCTGCGTAAAGCAGGAGGCGTCATTTCAACCAATCAATCATCCACCACATACCTTCAAAATTCTTCTTTTCTTTTCATGGCGGTCTTTTTAATACTTTTCTAAACATTTTCGTAATGTATTGATGGGGACTGCTCTTTCTTTCTCAGCTCTACAAGTAAATAGACTCCTGAAAAAAACTTTTCACGCTTAACGCAAATTAGGTTTAAACTATAATAATTTTGCACTTTAAATAACAAGCTATTTTCGAAGTGTAATTCCTGTATACTGCTGTGTACTTGCTATAACTCCCGTATTTGTTTATAATATGTTCATTCTATTTTTTATTTAGCGATGTGTTATACATAACTGTGTGTCCACTATATGTGTAATACACGATTAGTAAAATCGAAACTATACTTTAAGTTTACAACACGAGAGTAGCATACTTTTTATTTTATCAGAGTTGAAAATAATTATGGATTTAGTGTACTAATTTTTTGTAAAATATGGCCGTGCACTGCACTGTATTATACCAAATTTTAGAGCCTTAAAAGAGATGTCTCAGTTTTGTTCCTTTTAAAAAGTCTAAACATACATGCCTCTAGCAATTTTAAGAACGCGAGAGTGCAACGCAGTGTCGTTAGTCGCTCTCTTGAACACTCAGAAATCAGAAGCTCCTAGTGGAGTAACTTCCCCTCCTCTAGTCTTTCAGACTACTGCATATAACAATAACCGCTGAAACCACCTAGAACAAAAAAAAATCGATTTTCAACGACTTCACGTATTAGTAGAACAGTTCGCTGTACAAATTTTCGATGCGGAAATAATATATAGCGCACCGTTTCGCTACAATGTAGTTTACTCTCACTAATAAAAAAATCCCTAAAAAAAAAAAAAAAAATTAAATAGCGTAGCAAAATATACATCTAAAAGTTATGTATAAAATTGCATTATTAAGAGCGAATATATTTTTATATTGGTGTACCAATACTATAGCCTGAATCAAACAGCGAAGCGCCATTCGTATAGATTCAACACCGCGAAGAGGAAAATTGTGCGTATCCCCATCTGTGAAGGTTGTGATTGACCCACCGCTGTTTGATTCAAACCGGTATTCGCACACCCCTATTCATATTTCCGCGGCACATTTGCGAAACACATGGCCTCGTGCACGTCGAGAAAACATGTACATCAACTTTAATGCAGGATCTTAAATTTCACATTTATTGGCACAGTTTTATGTGAAAACAAACTTTTCTAACTTCGACGATGGTGCTATAAGTTAACGGAATTGTGTCGTGTGTACGTTTATCAAACGTGGAGTTAGTTTACGTTTATAAAACAATTTTTTTCCAGGGCATTGTAATTGCATACGTGCATAGCCTTCTCTATACTCACAAAACCCGGAAGTTCAACGGCGGAGCCATAGAGTGCCCGGTCGCAGATTTGGAGTGCGATGATTTGGTAGTACAGAGCATTTCTCGGGGAACTTAGACGTCAGCGCACAGCTTTTGCAGCGGCGAGGAATCGAAACCCGGTTTTCAAACCCGACGAGACGAGAAGCGGTAGCGCGAGGAACGCGAGGAGCACGAGCGGACATTCTATCGCTCGGGAGAAGTGTGTTTCGGCGTCTCGCCGCAGCGGGGCGCCTGTCACGTGGCTCTCCTGTCACCCGTTGTCTGCCGCTCTACCTTTTTAATTTTGGCGGGCGCTTCTCGTGGCGATCTGCCAGGCTTTGCTAGTATAGAGGAGGCTACGGCCATACCCACGGTGTAAGATACACTTTCTAGGTGAGGACACGGCGGGGCTGAGCGCGCGGCGCGAGGAATCAGCGTTCGTTCGACGGGCATCCGAAAGGCAGCATCACTCCGCGGCCACCGCGCTCGCGGCTGACAGTGTCGCCGGCGGCCAAACGGCGAAACTGTGCGAGAGCGAAAAAAATTATCTCGTTGCCATGACACCCCGGTACACCGTGGTCTTTCTGCACGTGCGACAACCTCGCTGGAGCTCTGCGCGTGTGAAGCATGAGGCGGCACGAGCCGTCTTGTGGACTGCTGCCTGCCTCCGTCTTACACCGTGCCCATTTCACGTGCCCACGGGTCGACGAGTCATCTGCCGGCGCCGCATAAAACCATAGTTAGAAAGAGAAAGAGGGAGAGTGAAAAGCGAACTTTATCGGCATGTCGCGATAAAGTTCATTGTCCTTACCTAAAGAGTATTATCTCACACCGTGGCTATACCTGGGCTGCACGTGCACGCTAGCTCGAGTCTCGTGAGACGTCAAAGAGTCATCGAAGGCAGAAAGGTCGTGCTGGATGCGGGAAAGCTAAAGGACACGCTCGCCTTTCCCGTCCTTTCGTTCATTATAGGCCAACGCGCTGCTTACGAGCGAGCCCAGAAAAGGGGAGGACGAAGGCGCAGTTCTCGCAAGCAAGGTGTAGGCATTGCGCATTAGCAGGAACCAGATTCGCGTGAAGTTGAGTCTCCTGGGCACGCTCCCTGAAAATCGCAGCTTCACCCCAGCAGCGTGACCTCGGGGCGGCGGGTTGGTGTAGAGCTGTGGGAAGCGCAAACTTGTCTGCTTCTTTCGCAGAGCCTGTGGTGACGTCATAACGCCGAGCTCTGATTGGCTCTTACTGAAGGATAGTGGGTAGCTTGCTTTGCAGTCTACCCAGCTATCCTTCAATCGAAGCCAATCCGAGCTTGGCGTTATGAAGTCACCACAGTCTCTGCGAAAGCAGCAGACGAACCTGGCCTCCACATACCTCGCTGACTAGTGGTACTTTTTGACAAGGTGTTTTCACGCTATGTAGCGCGTGTCTTGTTTTTGTTTAGGCATTGCCGAGTAAAGGGAATCGGTGGCCGAATATACAAACAGGCTGCAGCTTGGAGCAGTTGGAGAAAAAAACCTCGCGCTGCGGAATCCAGCGACCCGGGGTTCAATCCCCTACCCCTGCCTAAAAAAAAGCTATCTGAGCGGTTGTCGCGCCGGCGTGTGTTCGTGTTCGTGCTGCGCGTGAACGACCCCAGGCTAACAGTGACACTGCGCGGGTAAAATCTCTTATCTACAGCGGACACAACAGGTGCCTATGGAGGCTGACCAACTTCCCGCTGTCTAACCATGCAGACACAATTACGTTTTACCCAAGGTCCGTCTGGCTGATGAAAAACGCACGTATAACTATGTTTCGTGAACTAATTCAGCGAACATATGAGCG